CTTGTCTAGGGATATTTGAAGACAAATTTTCTTTGATTGTTTTTACTCTTTAATGAACGTTTTGCGCATTCGCTCGTTTAGCAACTAACTCCCATATGGTTTATATATGATACTGGCCGCTAAATAACATATTTAACAATTTTGATGTTTGATGATTTGGTTAATTGTAATCTAATTTCCATATATTCTATCACAGTACTTTATCAATAGTAAAATAAATATGATAGAGCAATCCCGCATTCGCTTAGATAAACACAGAGCAATGCATGGCTTCATTTCGATGCTGGAGTTAAAATTATCTTTCTGTCTTAAAATTATCTTTCTATCTCTGTCAAAAACTCCAGTCTCAAAATGAAGTGATTGATTTGTGATTGCATGTCTCTATTATTATAAAATATGTAAAAATATAGCTGGGGTGGTAGTGACATATATCTTTTCACATACATTCTTACCTTTTTTACATGTTAGTTTACATAATTAAGGTCCAAGGCTTTTATAGCTACATGTACACACAATTGTTTATGTCCTTTTCACAATAACTGTTTAATATGTAAGGAACTAAATAATTGTAGCTACAGATATTTCTACCGTACCTTCGACAGTTTACATAAGGCTTAGTTAACTACACACACTTTAGGCCCTTTTTACAAAAACCTTTCCATTAAGGGCTAAGCTACGTGTATTACTGTACCAGACATGTTTTACACGTTTTTACACGTGCCTAATCAGACTACTGTACAAGGAGCATGTACCTTAATTTTTGTACAAATAGGTAACTTAATAGAGTAGGTGAAACAACTTTCTGATGTTAATCCTTCTTTACTCTGACGAAGGATTAATGTCTGAAATGTCCAGGGGCGTCAGAACCGGGGGGGAAGGAGGGGTGAAGCCCCCCCCAGTATTTTTGAATATTTAATTTTGTTTTATGATAAAAGCTCGCAAAAATCTTCTTAGCCCCAGGGCCAAAAAGCGCTCCACCGCCCCTGATGTCAGTAAGTTGTTTCACCAACTCTATTACAGTGTTGAAATTTATCTTTTTACACAACTGTTTCTTTAGTGTGAAGCAGTTCACACTAGTCTAACACTAGTTTCCACCAACTTAATTAATAAATTAGTACTTTTAATATGTCCATAAATGGTTAGCAAACTAAATTGCTTGAAATGCTTTGTCTTCTATTGTTTATACAATATAGTACAATATGTACAGTTTCTTACATAATGTTTCATGGATATATTGGATGCTCTCTTTATGGACCTAAAAATAAATACCACCATCATAGATGACCTGAATGAAGATTTTTGCTTGAATTTTGAGCTTTTAGCCGTAAGAATACTCCTCCTCACAAGATGCAGTGTGCGTTTTTATGTGATACTTTAAACTTTTCTTTGCTGAAAATTTCCTATCACAGTGCGAGCATTCAAATGGCTTCTCTCCAGTGTGTGTTCTCATATGACTCTTCAAGTTTGTCTGTTCTGCAAATTTCTTTATGCAGAGAGAGCATTCAAAGGGCTTCTCGCCATTGTGTATCCTTAGGTGACGTGTTAAATCATGCTTTCGTGGAAATTTCTTTTTGCAATAGGAACACTCAAAGGGCTTCACTCCAGAGTATTTTCGTATGTGAGCGTTTAAATTTGACTTAGCTGTGAATCTTTTTGCGCAGTGAGAACACTCAAATGGCTTCTCCCCATTGTGCAATCTAAGGTGGCGTTTTAAATCATGATTTCTTGAAAATTTCTTTTTGCAGAGGGAGCACTGGAATGGCTTCTCTCCAGAATGAATTCTTAAGTGACGTTTTAAATTATTTTTGTGAGTGAACTTCTTTTTGCAGTGAAAACATTCAATGTTCTCATCTTCATTATTTAGTTTAAGATATCCCTTCTGTAATTGTATTATCTTGTCTTGAGCTGTTGATATGCTGTTGCCTTCGCTAGTGATTTTTTCAAAATTTTTAGTACCCCTATCTCTATCCTCATTTGCATCATTTATGATTGCAACATTTTTTTTGCGGTGGCAATTGCCTTCTTTAATTCTGCCTCCATCAAAGTGATCGGCATCTGTTTCTTCAAGAATTTTTATGCCCTCCATATCTTTGTCTGTCTCTTCTGTACCTCCATCATAAAGTCCATTATCTAGGTCTGCTTCAATGCCTCTAGAATCATCCAAAACAACTTGTATTGATTCTCCAGTGCTGTGGATAACATGAACTACATTGATGTACATGGAAGTACAGCTATTATTACAGCCATTGTCATCTGTCTGTGTAGCAATGGTGCAGACTTCTTTGTAGACAACTGGATCATCAGTCATGGTATGGCTATTTTCTATTGGGCACTAGGATGATACAAGCATTCATTACAGGATTAAACCTGGTTTTTAAAGATATTCATGAAAATAAAATTTGTAGCTTGTCAAGATGTTAGCAATAAAAAAATAAAATGAACTTCTCCTCCTCACACCATGGTTTGTGTAAATAGGTTCCATTTCAATACTTTCGATGAACAAATTATAGTTCTTCAAATTTTGAATTTAGAAAAGAAGCACATAAGATCAGACGCAACAAATTTGTCTGGATTTTGACCATTTCCAGACATTCTCCAAATCCCATWTATTTTTTCGAAATKTTAKYGTATTTGAAAGTTTGAATAGTATTGAACTGATTTTAATCAAATTTTGGGTATTTCGTGTTTCTCCCCCTTCACCAACCCCCTCCCCATGCATAAACCAAGGGTCAATTTGCTAAGAATAAGGGTATAATCTGGATCAATGTACACTTCGCTAAGTTTACAAGGCTACAAGAAAAATACTATGCGAAGAAATATATAAAGTTATAGGTATAAAGCTTCACACTTACAAGCAATTGTAAAAAAAAGTCTTAAAGCGTAACGCTTGAATTGATCAGGTTTTCTGAAAACCAACGACGCGAGTCTCCTTGGTTCGTTGATTACTCGACGTCTTTCTTAATACTGGACTAACTGAACCTGATTTTGAACAAGTTATTAGTAATTCTTAAAGTGAAGTCTTCCTATGTCAGTGTGAATTCCCAAAATGAATTTATTATCTCCTTTCCTTCCAAATTTCATTTTACAGCAAGAACATTCAAATGGCTTTTCCCCAGTGTAATTTTGAAAATTTCTATTCACAGTACATATAAGAGCATTCAAAGGGCTAATGTTTTTAAGTGTGTGTCCGTGAATGACTCATCATATCTTGTTTGCGGGTAAATTTCTTTTTGCAGTAAGAACATTCAAAAGGTTTCTCTCCAGTATGAGTCCGTGAATGAGTTATCATATGTTGTTTTTGAGTAAACTTCTTTTTGCAGTAAGAACATTCAAAAGGTTTCTCTCCAGTATGAGTCCGTGAATGAGTTATCATATGTTGTTTGCGGGTAAATTTCTTTTTGCAGTAAGAACATTCAAAAGATTTCTCTCCAGTATGAATCCGTAAATGAGTTATCATCTCACGTTTCTGGGTAAATTTCTTTTTGCAGTAAGAACATTCAAAAGGTTTCTCTCCAGTATGAGTCCGTGAATGAGTTATCATATTTTGTTTGCAGGTAAATTTCTTTTTGCAGTAAGAACATTCAAAAGGTTTCTCTCCAGT